ATAATTTTAAATGAATTTTATTCGACAGAACACACAAAGTATAAATTGAATAATAATAATTATTATTAATTATTAGAGTGTGTGTGAATATTGAGAAAATTGATTATTTAATTATTAAAACTTATGATTAAATTAATCGAATTGAAAACGATGACGTTGTAAATTTGATTGTTATTATTGAAACTTACCAACATCACTGTCGACGTCATGAATAACAATCTTAATACCCTCCCCATCAACAAGACTACCTTGTCTAGGTAAGTCACGTTCCTCTGCGGTGACTCTGCTGACGACAACTGGTTGCGCAGCTTTGCCTGATCCTGGAGCCGATGTTAGTGCTCTTATCGCGTTTATGTCTGGTCTACAAAGACATTTTATCCTTCTTTTATATATATATATATATATATATATAAAAATATATAATACAAGATAGAACGGACAGATTTATTATTATAGAGTTTAGTCTCGTCTTATTTTTCTACTATCATTTCATATTATTTTACTATTTATGATTGAAGATCTAAATCTCTGTTTTAATTTAAGAATTTTATTTCGAGTTATAGGAAAATTCCGATAACTATAATAAAGATTCGATGATGTAAAAGTAAAATAGAAGACAAATTTTTTGTAATAAGAATCTCGAATAAAAAAAACATGTAGAATATAAAATATTACGAAAGATGATTGTTAATAAATGACACAAACTCGACAATGTGTGAGCGATATGCAAAAAAGAAATAATTCAAAAATGAAATTTAATTAAAATGACATATTTTTGAACTCACAATTGTGATCCCCTTCGCCTGGAACGTCTTTCCTCGTCAGGTATCAAAACAGGCGGTTGAGTTACAGTCGGTGGTACTACAGGAACCGTTGTTGTATCCATGTTGATGATCTTTTCTTCTTCACCACCAACATCGTACGGTAATATTGATTTAACTCCGCGAAATGATGCTCTACGCGTGATTGGTCTGTCTTCTGGTTCTCGAGCACCTAATTTGTATACCCAAACATTTTAAATATATTATTTTAAATTACATCGAACATATGATCGTATTACAAATATGTAATAATAATAATAATAATAATAAACGAACTTATGTGGTCATGAAATTAACTTACATATTTATTATCAAATTCAAATAATAAATGAAATTATTTGTATTCATGTCGCGCTAGTAAGCCAAATAAATGTGTCAACAATCAACTGAAATAAATCAAAAGAAATTAAATAAGAAATGAGAAAGTATCACAGGGAACTTGGACATAAAAAAGAATGAAAAAATCACTCAACAGCTTTGTTGAGTGTTTCAAATTATAACGAGCTAATACTTAACGAAGTTTAGATGTTTTGTGTTTCGAATATTAATAATAAAAAGAAAAATGTATGTCTACTCAATGAAAAAAGACGCTGAACTATAAAGATTAAGGTAACATGTAAAAAATGATATATTGTATGAGCCTCATGTATATCGTAATATTAGAAATAATAATAAAATAAAAATTCCAGTTGCTGAAGAAGTCCCAATAAAGGGGCGAAACGTCCAACTTAGTTAAATTAGGTTCTACTTCTTTTTTATGTCCAAGTTCCCTGTGTATACTTTCTCATTAAGAATTTTATTTTTGGACGAGAGAAATAACTGATTAAATAAGAAATTAAATTGTTGAATTTTGTTGTAAATAAAAACAAAACAAAACAAAAAATTAATAAGATTAAAGATATGAGATTATCTATCGTATGTTCGTAAATAAGAGGATAAAAATCAATAAAATGGCACCTTGAGCCGAAATGGAGGTCCTTTGTTGTGCCGAAGCAATGGCGGCCGCGTTTAGGCCAGCACTTCCGGGTGGCGTGTAAACGTCGTAAGCAGAAGCACGTCTTGGTAGTTGAACCGGAAGACCAAGACCCGTATCCGGATGTGGAGTCTGATTCGTACTTCCGCTAACCGTCCCAGCTGTTTTGATCTCGTCGTCGTAAGATCTCTGTCTTGTCACGCGAGATTTACGACGACCTGAGCTACCGTCACGACGATTGGCTCGTCGTCTTCGTTCCTCTTCCTCGTCCATGTCACCTGTACCCACCATTTCCGGCTCGACTATTTCGAGAAAGATTAATGACTAACTTTAATATTTCAATTTATTTACAATAAGAAGAAAGAAAATGATTTATGATATTATTGCGGGATTTTATTGTATTCACATATTTTTTTCAAGAAATTTTTAATACGATAATGTGTTTACAATTTTGACAATAAGTACATCTTTTATATATCAATGTAAGAATATTACGCGTGTTATATTAAATAATCATATTATCATTTATTCAATTATCCCTTTTTTTTTATATATATAATATAACAATATTAATATATTATTATTATTATTATTATTATTATTATCATAATAAAAAACAGTAATACTAGAAAAGTTCCAAGAAAAGTATGTAAAGGATTTAAATATTTATACATGACTTTTTTTTTACTGAGAATACTTTAAATGAATTATTTTTCTTGTTAAATGAGATAAAACTATGAAAATTTGTTTAAACTTAAATAGAATCTCGCGGAATAGAATAATTGATATTATTACAAATATTCGTAATCTTAAAACTTTCGTTTGTGTGGCGCGTATTTTTATTTAATAATTTCCAGACAGGGATTTTTATATAAAATAGATTTTTACCTGGAGGCTGAGAACTTTTGATAACTCTCTGAGGACTCGTTGTTCTTCCTCTATCTGACTGATGACGGTCCGGTGATCCACCTCTTGATTTACTCTTACGACCGAATTCTCTATCCCATTTGAGGTCGTCTCGGTGATCCCCTGCAACCTTTCGAAACTACAACATTACGATACGATGATTAGGGCTCGAGGCTGGTTACACCATTGCGCGTACACACATTTACAATGATCAAGATACGCGTCTTCTGTGCGTGCTGCCTGCGTTTATCTGTGTGTATTTGTGTTTGTGTGCGTATGAGTAGGTGGGGTTTATAGTTATATATGTGCATCCGTGATAGCTTGATTTAACGAGCTGGTATACCGTGTTGTTGTCACACATATTACATGACTCAGAGATATGTACATAGACGATGATGTTTATACAATGTTTACACGCTTGTTATGCACTTTGATAACATTCGCAAACGTAATTTCATTGTACGTAATAATATGCTTTCTCTGTTTTTTCTTTTTTTCATATTATTTGTTAATATTTATATTGCAACTATGTTTGTTTTTATTTTCCTTTTTTTTTTTTTAACACTAAACCTACCGACATTTCATGTATACCTATTCCTACCATTAAAAAAATATATGTATCTTAATATTGAAATATATTTTTGCCAATTGGATATTAAACAAAATATTTTTTAGAATTTTTTATTTATGCAGTTTTGGCACATTTTTTATCAATTACAGCATTATGTATTGCACATTGTCCACATTCGTTTTTTTTACATTTTATACAAATTTTGTTAGTCTTGTTGACTTTACAATATTTTATATGACAAAATTTCCGTCCAAAAGAATCTATAGCTGTATTTATTATTTTTTTTGTTGAACATTCTTTGCTTAGCTGTCTTTATTTTTGATAGTCAGTCCCTAGCTCTTCTGCTAATTGAAATAAAAATTTTTCCCTTGATATTTCTTCACCCGTCGTTACTTTATATAAAATCCAAGCATTTATTTTTTCTAAATCGTTCAATAAAAATTATACTTGTCATTAATTTTTAACTTGATAATTTACAAGTATAACTAATATTTGAATTTAATTATGCTTAATCGTTGCAACGTTATTATTAATCATGAATATTCTGATAGACGCGTAAATATATTGAAATGAAATATATGTTTGATCAAAAAATCTCACAAAGTAACTACGAATCCGATCGATCAATCCTCTCTTCCAGTCTTGTTGTTTAATCCGCAAAATATTTTTCACCGTTCACTATATATATTCCTGTGTTTTTCTTTTTTTTTTTCTTTTTTTTCTAAAGGGTAGCCCAATCGATATTGGACATCACATGAGAAATTTTTGTGAACGTATTTGTAACTTTATATGTATGAATATATGTATGTGTAACACAGATAGCATAGATACACATGTGTTATGAGAAATGATAGCAAGTATTACAAACAATAACAGAGATAAAGCAAGAAGAGAAAAACATGATTTTTCGTTGATAGAAATGAAAAAAAGAAAAAGAACAAAAATTTGATAGATAAAGTTGCTCGAATTTTCATTTCACGGATTGAAGAGAAACTCAAATATAAAAAAATAAAAAAAACATTTTTCTATTATTAATTTGTTTCTTTTTCTTCAAATAAAAAAAACAAAAAACAAGAAGAAAAATGATTCGACGTGTTCGTCGAGTCTTTTTTTTTTTTAAATAAACAAAAATTCTTTGATCATATTTCGTAAGCATTCCTATAAATGCATGTATGGGGATGTGTGTGTGTATTTGCATATGCGTGTCTGTAGATAAGAAGCTACGGATAAAGCAATCAAAGCTATCATCTTCTGTGATAACAACAGAACGCTATGAAACACATCACTATTAGTTTATTCAAAGCGAAACACATTTAAGAAACAACGTTTCTCTCGGGTCACATGTTAAATTGCAGCAATAATAATTATCGTTCATGTTGGCTTTATTATTATCATCTACGGCTTAACAAAGAAAGGAAGATACAGAATATGGTTTCAAAAGTTTTTATACAAATAAACTTATATAATCCAAGAATATTATTAATAATAATTACATATATCGATATATTCAATGAATTTGTCACTTTAATTTTTCATATCAATTATTATTCATGCATTAATATAATAATATAAATGAGAGATTTTTATTCGATTTTGTCGTATTATTTATGAAAAATATGTTTGCCATAATTTATTATAATCAATTAATCCAATTAATGCTTCAATTGAATATTTTCAATTAATTTAACAAATGTTCACATTTCTAAATGAAAGAAACAGCATTATATAATATATCATTTGAAATAAATTTATCCGGTTGAGTTTATTAATCGATATTTATATGTGAATACGTTTAATGATGTTTGAAATTCAACAATTTTCATCGATAATAAAAAAATGTATTTTCATTGCCGAGGAAAAAATTACGCAACATTAACAAGATTAAAGATAAAAATGTATCTTGAAATATTTGTAATATCACATTTATATATATATATATATCAGGTTATTTGGAATGAGAAAGAAACCATATTATGTGCTTCGAAATAAAAAAATAGTTCGATGATTGATATACCTTTTCGAGTTCCTTCAATGTTGAAACGTCAGAGTGTCTTCGCAATTCTGGACTTCTTGGTGGTGCCAAGCCACTTCCAATACCACCAATTTGGCTACCACTTTTGCTACCAAGTCTTGCTTCGCTATGTCTTCTTTGCAATGCTTCAATGTTCGGTACTTCGAGAAGAGAATCTGTTGAATCTTGCGTTAAAATTGGCTGGTCCCTCGAGGCAATTTTTCGACGACAAACGCTGCATCTCCAAGATGACTATAAAAGTAAATTAAATGATACACGCACGCACACACGCACGCACACACATTTTATATATAAATATATACAAAAATATAATAAAAAAATAAAGAAATATGTATATAATAATCTGTATCTTAAAGATGACTATAATAGTACATTAATTTTTATTTAATTTTTGGTTATTTTTGTTTGAAAATGTAAGAATGAATGAAACGTTTTAAAAAAAGGCAAAGTAGTAGGCAGCAATTCAAATGAATTAATTTTCATCGAGAAGAACACTTACCTGATCGTTTGAATTCGTTGTCGTCGAGTATGAGGCACAATCCTCGCAAACTTTGTGTTGACACTCGCAGCAAGTCCTCGAGCTTTCTTCCGGTCCAAATGATTTCCGGCAAACTCGACATTCTTCCCCGCTGCTTATTTTACTTCCCCCATCTGGTTTTCTGTAACATAATTTATTATTAGACAATGAAAATAATTCTTTACGATGCAATAAGAGTGAATCAAATCAAATCAAATCAAATCAAATCAAAAAAAAGAAAAGCATCGATTTTTATTTATGATCGTTCGTCTGTAAAAAATTTGTTAAATTTTTAATGTTTATTTACCGCGATAAGAAAAGATAAAGAGGAAGAAACGACGCGTCGCGTAGCGAGAATAGAAAGTTCATTAATCTTTCATCTTTCTATCTTTTCGTACAATTAAATATCGTAACCGATCCAACGAAGCATGAGAACTCAATTATTTTCTTTTTTTTTTTCTTTCTCGTCTATTTTACGAAAAGCTTCGGTATCGGCAAAGAAAAGAAAAGAAAAGAAAAGGAAAAGATTAGATAAGATAGATAGATAGATAGATAGATAGATAGTTGGATGTTAATGCAAGTGTGAGAGAGAGAGAGTGATAGAGTGAATAAAGAAATCTGGTTGGGTCTGGTGAATTAACTTTATTAAGCGATTCCATTAACAAGGATCGCAAAGATTGCGCTCATTGTAAAATGTAACGAGATTTTCCAAGATGTTATTTTAAAATTAGATCATCTTATCTTTTATCATGCTCAGCCTTCGAACTTGTTGCATTTATCCTATCGACTTTGCGATAAGAATGGATAGATATCGTGATTTATTACATTCGATTATCTTATTAAAATGTTTTGATTTCTTTTAGTTTTATCTTTTGAAATCTCATCATTTAACGTATCATTTAAAAAATTAAATCACATCGATATTCGTATCCTCTCTCGTGTCATTGATAAATTTAAAATAATATTTACTCGCGTATAAGAGAACACAAATTCTACTCACTTTATAATCGCTTCGATGGCGTCTTCCTTTGGTTGGATTTCTTCGACTGGGGTGACTTTAGCTGGAGCCAATTTTGTGACTGAGGAAAAATAATAAAATTATGTCTTTAATTCAAAATGATTATGCGGAAAAATTTCGGAGTTATATCGTTTCTATAAAAGAAAGTAACTTTTATGTTTTCATATACGAATGTCGATTTAAAAAATACATTATCCTGATTTATTTATCAATATCACTAATTTTTAAAATATAAAAATATATACAGATTATACAAAATTTTTCTTAATAATTATTCCACACGTGTGTGAGACACCTTAAAGTTTATTAAATGAATAAATTATAAAGAAAATTTTGAAACACCCTGTAGTATTTTTTGTGCTATTATTCTCTCTATATACATGTATATATATTCTCTTTATTTTTCACGTCATTTCACTTTTAGAGTCTCATATCTTTCGGACATTATCTAAAAATCCTTGAGGGTCTATCAAGTGAAACAAGGACCTCTTCAAATATTCAGTCAGTTTCGAGAAGAAGAACGATACCATTTTCTTAACTCCTACTCCTCCAATTTTTCCCCAATCACCTTTATTCTCGATGGAAACATTTGCTATTATTTCAATGAAAAAGAAAAAAAGATGACTACTACACAATAATTATACATAAATGAATCGAGATCGTTGAACTTTGATGCAATTTAATTAAATTTGTTAACATACACAACTACTCGTCAAAAAAAAAAAAAATATATAAAAATTAATTAAATTCATAATTAGAAAACCATTTTTTTTCTACTCGTTCTCTTCTCAAATTGTTGTCATTTTTATTCGTTCGATGGAAATGAAACCTTTTGGTTTACTCAAAAAAAAAAAGAAGAAAAAAGAAAAAAAACCTGAATTTTAATCTAACGCGCATTGACGAATCATTTATTTTTTTTTTACAGAAATTTGATATAAACATTTGCATATAGAAGAAAACGCGTTTTTACTTTTATTTCTCATAGAAAAAAAAAAAAAAAACAAAAAATAATATAAATTCGAAGAAGTCACATTGATCGGGAAAAATTTTCCAATTAAAGTTTCATTTGAAAAATAATCTATTCTGATATCTTTCTCTCTCTCTTTCTCTCTCTCTCTCTCTTTTTTTCTTTTTCTTTTCGTCAGTTTTTTACGTAGGCACGTCGGAGACGCGTTTCTTTGACGGAAATTAACCGTCAGATCAAATCTCGTGTGATTTATGTCTAGCGAATGGAGAAAGTACGAGAGAAGCGTATGGAGAATATATCGTTGTAACATGGTTAGGCGAACGAGTAACCACGCTTCCGTAAAATTAGAATTATATCGGTTAGGGAAATTTTTTTTTTCTTTTCCCACCCTCCCTTTACCCTTCCCTTTTTCCCCCTTTTTTTTATTACTAATAATTTTTCTTCCTTTTTCATCACCATTTCTTTCTGCGTCCTACATTCTCGTAAAATCTAATTTCAGATCTGTTCAAAATGTTCGTGTAAATTAATGTAATATACATTTTATATTTAAAAATTTAATTAAATATATACATTTATTACTGTTGTCAGAGAAAAAATTATATTATTATTTATTTTTTTCTTTTTTTTTTCTTTTTTTTTTACAAATAATTCAATCGTAAAATAACCTATTTTGGTTTCAAAAATTAATGCCATTGTTTGCGTTTCATTTCGTAGAGTAGAAATAAAATAGACATCCAAAATTGTAATAATTTTATTTCTTTTTTTTTTCGATTTTCAAAAATCAATTTTTACAGATAATAAAATAGAAATGAAAGTGAAGTATACGAGATAACAAAAAATATGATACGTATTCATTTACTTTGATCCGATCAGTTATTTAGAATGACCAAAGCGAATTTCTGTTCCACTATAGTCTTGCGTGTTCTAAATTGAAAAAAAACGAAGTAAAATTAAAAGAGAAGCGAAAAGAAAATTATATATATATATATTAAACGGGAATATAAAAAAAGAGAGAAAGAAATGAATACAGAAAAAGCGAGCTGAAACATATATTTTAATTTTAGTTTTTTATATTTTTTTATTATTACTATTATTATTCTACAAACGATGTTGTTTTATGTTTGTCAGTTTGCGGTTTCAAGAGTCAGAGATATGGTGGATAGAAAAAATGACCAATAGGGTTAGAGAGATATCTACATGTGTCAGTATCGATATTTCACGAAACACACATATCGACAAAGAAATTAATTTTGTTCTCAGTAGATATTTTATTTTTTTAATACCATTCTCTCCTTCTTTTTATTTTTATTGACTGACATTTCTTTTTCATCACTTTAACTAGAATAAGTAAGATAATATTTTGTCTAGTATTAAAATGAATCGAAATATGTTTTTTTTATTTGACTTCTCTTAAATAAAAAATATTGATGGAAATTATTCCCCTTTTAAAATGATATGTCATTCAAATTTATAGGATATGTAGTTCCGGTTATATTCCCATCTAAATGAGACACGTTTCAAAAGTTTATTTTATATACAAAATTATTTGTTTATTAATAATTTATTAATTTATGTAATTTTATAGATTGGTTATCGAATATTTTGTTCAATTAAACAGAGATGAGTTAAGTTTGTCGGAATTTGTTTATAAAAATATTGTTAATAAAAAAATTACTATTTCATAAATAACAATAGATTAAATAAATAGTGAAGATTCTGGCTTTTAAAATGATACCTTGTTCAATTTTCTATGGCTTATAGTTTCGAAGATATTAGTATGTAAATGAAAGATGTTTACATTGACCCACTGACCTATATAATTCAATGGCACTGTGACCCATTTAAATTCCGAGAATTTACACACTCTGATTACTACTACTACTATTACTACGAACAGCTGTATTAGAAGAATTATGAATGGAAATCTTTCCAGGATGATATCTTCGGAACGGAAAATGGTAGATATTTGAAACCAACGTCATTTTCAAACAAAAATTTATTCCTTATTTATTTGATTATTTAAATAATATTGTTACAACAAAATCGATTTTGTTAATAATTTAAAAAATTAAAATTAACTTTTTCTCTTTTTTCCTTAAAAATGAAATAATTCAAATCTCTTTAAATAATTGTGTAAAATTATATATTTTGTTTATTTAAAAAAAATAAAGATATATAGAAAATGCTAATGTAGGAAATTAATAAACTAAAATTCGAATGATTTTTTTGTTTCTGCGCCACACAAAACTTCGTATATAAATTTAATTTTTATTTTTTTAAGTAACAATATAAGAGACACTTAAATGTATATTGTTTAATAAGAATGAAAGTGATCAATTTTTTGTTTCTATTTATTTAACCTCGGTAAAAGTAATACAAAAAAAAATATATATATATACATATATAAAAGTAAATTTTAATCTTTTACGAAGGGAAAGAAAAAAATCGATTTTGATTAGAAATCTTGCGGTGTGGTCACGTGACAGATTTAGTTATCATCCATCATGGGTGACCTTCTAACAGATGATGGAACGTTTTGAGATCGTAGCTTTATAATTCCATGTCGGAGAGATTCCAATGTTACGTGCATACGTTTCTGTGCCCGTTTAACTGGTTATGGTAATGTCATCGTAAGTAGTCGATCTGAATACACAATCGCATAATTAATCATCTGACTAATTAATACCTGCTCTTTGGTCATCGACGATTCAATTATAATTGGCGGCTTTCAAAGCAACATTACTAAACTATCGATTACGTTATCCTAAACGATTTTATGCAAGACATCCGTCCATCTTACAACATATTCGAATTTATAACAAAAGAAAAAAAAGGTAGGAAAAGGAAATGAAATAAAATAAAATGCAAAATAAAAAATCGGACAATAATATGCTTTGAGAATTATCAATATTCAAATTTTGATATCTATTTTGGATTTATGTCAAGCGAATAATTTAATATTCGAATAAACAACAAGCAGAAAAAAAAAGTTTTTACCTATACGCTAATCAATTTATCCCCGTTTCCTTTTACGAATTTGCTGACACAAGCACGTACATATTCCGTTTTTTATTACCATTTTAGATTTCATCACGATTCGCTCGTATAATTTTAATATGTCCTTCCACGTTGTAAATCGTGTCTTTAATCTTATTACATGGATAATGATCATGACTCCAGACGACAATCATTCTTTCAATTACTCGTGCTTTTGTTTTCATGTCGAATACGTGATGATACTTTTCAAACGTTCATTCTAAATTTTTACTATCATTATTTAATTGTTCCTTTTAAGAAAAATAATAATTGTGATAATAAAACAATTTACATAGAGATAATTACATTTTATCTTTGATTTTTCTTACACACATTTGTCTCAATTTATTTAATTTGAAATAATCAAAAAAAAAAAAAAAAAAAAAAAAAAAAAAAA